TTAAAAACAGCTTAAAAAGCCGTTTGGAATAACATCAAGCTTGCCATCAATCAAACGAAAAAATTCCGCTGGCGGTTGTATAAACATCAGATCAAGTCTGATGTCTTCAAGGATTTCAGAGTGAACCATAAAAAACTCCATTAACTTCTGACAAAGAATGCAAATTAATCACAACATGGGGTGAAATGAAATTAAAGGCTCTTTTCTAATCAATGACAAGGCAGGATGAAATATTTGTTACTCTCTCTGCACTCAGACTGCCTAGGATGTTTGCACGTCCCCTGCAAAGCCCTAAATGTAAGGTGTGAGTACAGATTCACCCACAGTCACTGTTTAGCCCTACCCCCAACCCCCCCAGAGCTATCTGCTTACAAGTCGTGGAGATTCACAAAACACACTAATCATCTGAATCTCAGGTGCATCCAATTTGTTATTCACACTCTGCCATGCCAGTGAAAAGCCTGGCGCAGACAGATGCACCAGGAACCCTAAATGACAGTTTTGGCCTCCGGAAGTATGATCACTACAACAAAATCTAGTACAGCCTCCAGGTGAAATGTCTGGAGCTCCCATATGGAGCAGGGAAAATTAACAACAAGATGAAAATCACTGCAGCAGCGGGGAGTCGGAATTTTTGAAAAAAAAAAATGAAATTTAAAGATGAAGAAAGAGAAGTAATAAATTAATGGGGTGTGAAAACATTCAAAGCTTTACAATACCAGGGGCACTATTTGCTCAGATTTTTTTTCCTTTTTTTAACTTCAGGTCATTTTGATGTAATTTATTAACCAAGATCAGGAATTGTAGCCAAATGAAGAACAATATTTTTACACATGCAAAAGTACATTAAATACATTTCTGTCTGTATTATCTTCACTTTCCTGTGGCATCTTGACCGAATTTCCAAGTACCAGAGCTGGCACATTTCCTGAGAAGTCTCCGTAGTGGATTTACTATCACCCTAATAAAGGACACTATTGTAAAGTTTGAATGAAGGGTGACAATTTTTAGCAGGTAATCTTGATCATTTTTGCTAAACTGTGGTGTCCTTAAACAAACCATTGCCCACCATCATGTTTTTTAAGTCAACTGAATTTGGATCCACATGATTAACTATATATAAAGCTCCAGTCCTTGTCCAGATCTGCACATCTTTCCAGATTACTATTAAAGCTAAATTGTTCCAGAAACTGAGATACTATCTGTTTGCAAGATGTTTAAAAACGTAACTTGTCATTATCCTCTTGCAGAAAATGCTTCACAGGCACCCATCATCTAGTGACCCTGGGGTCAGTGAGAGCTCCGGGGCTCTCCTGATCCTCCTGGCACTCTGCTGAACACACGGCAGGAGAAGCAAAAGGGCTCCAGGGAATGGTGCTGTCACCGTCTACAATGCACAAGCCTCCGATGTGCATTTCTCAGCGGTGCAAGAGGCCTCTCTAGGGCGGAGAAGGCAGGCCAGGAGAAGGGCCTGGTGGGGCTAAGTGGGAGGAGGGGCAGGGTACAAGCAGCCAAGCAAATTCAGAGTACACATAAGCAGTCACCCAGTTTAGCTGCCTACAAGTCCTAGACCTAAGGGTACCCGTTCACCCCTGAGGCAAGGGGCCCGCCTCTCACCTGGAGGCAGGAAGGCCAGTCCCTGCAGGAGAGAGGCACAGCTGGAGTCAGCTGACAGGGAGGACTCTGGGGGTTGATGTGGGAAAGGTGCTAGATGAGTCCAAGAAATCACTGTTGTTCTATAATGGGCATTTATAGTGGCTCCTAACCTTTTTTTTCGATAGAGTCCTAAACTGCATGCCGATGGAGGCTGTATAACTTCCAGGCCAAAAGGAAAATAGATAGTGCTTCCAAATACCAAATAAAAACCCAACCCCCAAAGCAATGAAATTCATAAAGAATGAGTATCTCAACAAAGATCTGGTCCTGTAACCTTTATGTTGGTCCCAGGCCACTGACTCTCCCTCATACCCTCCCAACACTCTTCCCTCATCTGCATCCCCACTGGGTGCGCACCCCACTGGGTGCGCACTGCGTCACCGGCAGGAAGAGGCGCTGCTAATGACACTCAGCAGCACTGACGCTGGGCCGGCGGAAGGACGCGGCCGAAGCTGGCCTCCCCTCCCTGCTCTTCCCTCCGCTCACTCTACGCTCTGCTCCGGGTACAGCTGGCGGCTGGCCGGGCACACCCTCTTGCAACCTTTGGCTGATGATGAGAAATTCTGTTTTGTGCTACAGCCCAACATTACAGCCCTTTGTGCTTTTCCCAGCGGTTTTTATACCCCTAACCTCATTGGATCTGCATATTTCCTCTAATTAGACAGGAAAGACAGGTATCAGGATCCTCATCTTAGGCGGAAACAGGCCTCAAAGAGTTACAAAGCAAGAATTAAGACCTAGTGGCAGAGCTGGGTTCTAATTTTCATCTTTTCATCCTACTCCAGAGCTCCTTTCAGTAGGCCCGTATTCTTAACTAGCTATTAGCGAAGACAGCTCAGATCTGGTGCCCTGACTTGACTTTGAGTTCAGAGCAGCAGTGTCCTGGTAACTGTCCCAGCCCTGGGTACAGAAGGGATGCAAAACTATGTGATCATAAGGATATATGAAAGTCTCTTTATGTGCTAAAGGCACACCCGGGGCAGTGGGTGACAACTGAGGTGAGGAAGCCCTCTGCTCGGAAAACAGAACATTGCTTTGACTCCATGGCTGCTTGAGAGTAGTGAGTTTCCTGTCGCCCGAGGTGCTCAAACAGAGTGTGGCTGTTGCTCTCAGAGATCTGTAGGGAGGTTTGATATGATGTGTGAGATCCTTTCTAATCCTGAGAGTCTATGACTCACTCCACTTGGGAGTCAATGGAACCAAAGCAGCTGTAGTCCAACGTGACCAAATCAGCCATTCTGTTTGCCCAATTTATGCGGGGATGCTATTTCATGGAGTGACTGGGGGGTTCAACTGAGATAATATGGGCCAAAAAGAAGGTATTATTTCATAATTCAGTCTCTGTAATACTATAAAAATAAACATTTTTTTTTCATGCTTTGAAGGCAAAAGGGAGGAGCAGGAAAGGAATTTATAAAGTATCCTTTCCCAGTCTTCAGTCTTATAGTACAAAGCCTATAAAATAAATGCCAGTTCCACCAAAAGTCATTACTGATTCTACCAATGAAACACACCAACTTCTGCTGAAAGATCCAGGAGACAGGTCTGATGACATCAAGGCTGCTTCTATTATTTGAAATAAAAGACCCAATTTGGTGACTGTATTCTATGATTATATAAGGTATAGTTTTTTCCTCCAATTCTGGCATAAAAGTTATTGCTAACTAGGGAGTTCAGCACATTAGAATTTTCCAATTTCCACTTGACTGATCATGTAAACTTATACTTAAACATTCAAGAAAACAAAGGTACACAGCCACTTCCTAAAATTGACCAGAGCCTACAAATGCTTCATTTGTCAAACTCAATGGCAACCCCTTTCTTAAAACTTACCACCTACCAAATCTCACTGATTAATTACTCTATACATTAGGAATCTCAAGAATATAGCTACATTCTCAATCTGCGGCATTTTTATTAGATGGCTTACAAATTTTCTACTAAGACTTGTTGAGAGATATATATTGTACAGGGTCTCTCCTCTTGATTTAAAAATTTTAGGGGATCACATAAGTTGGCCAAACAGTGAATTGTTTAAAAATTACTGACAGAATAAAGGGTTTTTACCAAGATAAATATTCTAATGAGCTATAAATCCTGAAAAGGTGATTTTAATTTGATGAGCTACCTAGAGCTAAGCAGCAAGGGTATATACACTAAAATCTCAGTAAATGCTAGCCAAGTGATTACATTTTAGATTTTGTCTTTAAGGAAAAGATTATTTTAAACAAAGAAGCCTACAAATTTGAAAAATGAGACTAATACTTTGACCCTAACAACTTGGACGATTTCTCTTCCACTTATCTGATAGCTTTAACTGTAAAAGAAAAAGGACACAAAAGAGACATTTCAGTGAGTGAAGAGTCTTTAAATGTCCACATGGGTACCAGGAGAATTTGCTTAAAACCCTTTATGAAGATGGTAGAGAGAGAGAATGAGCCCCATCCTATTATTCAATAACCATGTTTGTGATGCATCTGCATAATCTAACCATGCATAAATTAGTATGTGTAATACAACACTTATTTGCATAATAATAGCAAGTTAATAGATGCTTAAAGAGCAGAGACCAACACCACCTTTAAATCAGACATGCCTCCAGGCACTCTGGCCTGTACAGACCAAGATGCCAGAAAAACAGTGAGCAGCAACCAGAGGAAAACAGTCAAAGCACTCATTTTTCATCCCTCTAGACATTTCACTTTTCCCCCACACACTGGGGAATCATTTCCAAAGCACAAAACAGGTTTATATTTTAAGTGTAGCACTCTTCCAAATACAAATCTTAAAGAAATTATAAAGATTATCATCAGCAATGGTAATATAACGGCCAGTTTCCTTTCTTAGAAATGTGCACAGGAAGGGGCAAAATTTTAAAAATGAGTATTGTTCAAAATCACGCCCCCATAAAATTGGGGGCCTATCTGCTTAGCAAAAGTAATGACCTAGATTAGGTATTTTCATCCTTCATCTCAGTCCTTTAACACAAATAATTCTAATCGAATCCAAAAGCTCAAATAGTGCATCAAGAAAAGGCTGCGCCTCGCCCCCAGCCTCCGTGTGAGCATGTGGTGCTGGGCTCGGAGAAGGAGAGGCACCCCCAATGTCACACAAAGGAAGAGCCCAAGGATGGCTTTCAACCTTTAACAAAGAGGGAAAAAATCCGGAGTTTAAAAAAATAAAAAATCAATAGAGACTTGTAAATGACTCCTTTAAGATAACACTTTTCAATTTAACAGGACAGATTTATTTGTATGTGGCTCAAATGTTCACAATTGCTCCCTGCACCTTCATACATAGGAATGAATGTCACAGTGGCAAACGGCAGTAATGAACAATCTTACCTGAGGATATGGAAACCTCCCAAGAGCAAGCTGGGAAAGGAAATAATATTTGTCTAGTTATAGATTTGCATGCAGGGCAGACCTCCTTAAGACAGACAAGTACTAAATTTCAGAATTGTATCTGGCAAACATAAAAAAGCTCACAATCTCGAATACACGAACTAAACTATTGCTGTAATTACATTAGGAGTTGTATTTAGAATGGACATTTTCAATGGACAATGTTGCATCCTTGATAAAACATTCTAATTTCAACAACTAAACATTACCATTACATGGTTTCTCTCAGGAATATTTTCAGCTATATAGGCATTATTCACATTTACATGTGTGTGACAGTTTCTTCTAGACAACGGTGTAAAACTATAGGAAACTTGTCATTTCTAGCCTACAGCTCTGTCGAGTTTTCAGTTACAAACACATAGGCAGGGCTTGTAGGAAATGGGAAATGGGCCACATGAAATAGAAAATTTTGCCAACATTTTCATCTATTTCATCATTTGCTAGTTTTTCTCATTCACTTTCTATCCACAGAAGAAAAGAGCTACTACTAGTGGGAAAATGGCTGTTTCAAGAACTATAGATCTATGTCTGAAATTGGGAAAGTGAATCCTTAGAGAGCTTCCGATTTTGCTTGATTTTACACTGCTATGGGTTTCCAGCCCAGTCACTTCATTTTGGTCTTTGGATTCTTACCTCTAAAAACAAAATGATTCAACCAGGAAGAGAGCTGATATAAAGTGATAGGATCCTGTTTACCAAACATACCAGAACTTATTAAAGAATGGAAAAATTTTATAACTTCATCATGTAGCCCATCCTCAGACCGGACATCTTTTACATGTACAGTTGACCCTTGGACAATGTGGGGATTAGGGGTGCTGACGACTTCCCCCACCCCCTGGCACAGCTGAAAATCCATGTGTAACTCTTGACTCCCCAAAACTTAGTTACTAATAGCCTACTGTTGATTTTGTGACAGTAAATGATAAAATAGACTAGTATCTACATGTTTTATGTATTCATGATATACATGACTTTTATTTTGTCAGTATTTCTAGGCTGTGAGTTTCATCCATGATGTTTTTCAAATTGTCGCGGACCTCCAAAAGATTTCCCAATATATTTCTTGAAAAAAAAAATCTGCCTCTAAGTGGACCTACATAGTTTAAACCACCTGCCATTGTTCAGGGTCACCTGTATTTGTAACCACTCTCAAAGTAGAAATTGCTATATTAGGAAACTATGAAGCTAGAATGGCTCCAGAAGATCAATCTACTCTACAGATTAGAACCCGAGTCCCACTGAAGAGGTTCCCACACAGTTAATCAGTAGAAGTCTAGGGACTGATCCCAAGACTTGCCACTTAATCCACTGTTCTTTCCAGTGTATTACACTTTTCTGTACTTTGAAGTTGTGCATTCTTTTCAAAGGCACTAACCCTGCTCAAACATTCTCTGAACTGCTCTTCTGGAATTGTGTTGAGAATCATTTCAAGTAACAGAAGAACACCTACTTCATTTTATTAGAATTGCATTTTACCCTGGACTTAAAATTATACCCCTCAGCTTTTTGATCATGTAAATTATCTGTTGACTAAGGTTTGAATGGCCTGTGGGTTATTACCAAAACCCAAAGCCACCTGCAAAGAATAAAGTTTGTTCCTTACTAAGGATAGACATAAAGGTGCTGAGGTTGATTTTCAAAGTTCTAAAACAATTTTGAACAAAAGCAATGGAATAGGAATAAACTATATGATCAAGTAAGGTGATTACTTTGAAAGGGCCAACACTCATTTGGATGTATGTTTTTATTGGAATACCTGGTACGTTTCATTACCTGTACTCAATTTCTTACATATTCAGAGGTCACTGATTTTCAAGATACAAAGCTATCATTATTTCATTTGGTGGATATCATTAATCCCTCAAGTATAAACAGCAAAAACATTGCAAGATGTGGTGAAAGAGAGAGTAATGAAGGTAACCAAACTTGTTTTCACACCTTTATGTGATTATGGTTGTTGTCTATATACTGTTATTAAATAGGAAAGCGAGGCACTTGGCTCTCCACTGACCTTACTCCACTCCTACACAATACAGACCATCAATCTGCCTTAGATTTTGTAAATACAGTGTGTTTCTGGCCAATGAGAGTGTGCACACTGATCAGGAGACGTCACTGTGGTTTACTACGGGAGTGATGGGGGCACTAGGCATTTGCACCATTCTTTATCTGACAGGCAGTGACAACTCATCAAAAGCTGTCACCTGTCATCAAACTGATCTGTGGCTTATGAGTTTTGCATATTCCTTCATTTGGAGTTAGAAAACTACCAAGAGGAGGGTCATTCACCTAAAAAAGCTAACAGCTTGAAAACTACTATATAACATTTAGAACATTGTATTTCAAGCCCTTCTACAGATGCTGTGTCATTCGCTCCAGTACACAGTGAACACGTCATTGGAGACTATGGAAGAATGCTGTCCATGCTTGATTACCACACATAAAGTTAAAATCTAAACTAGCTGGCATGTGCCAACAATGGACACTGGTTCCTGTACTTTAAAGAATTAAGCAAGTATAAGTGGAAGGCTTAAAAAAGAGTGGGATAATGTGAAAAATGTGAATTCTTCCCACTTCAAAACACAAAGCCTCAAATTTTCAAGTCATCACTGTTCTATGAACAGCCTGCTTGGGAACGGGCACTCATCTACTTGGCATCCTCCGTCATGCCTGGTACAGGGAGTAAGGCTGGCTGCGTCACTCATTTACTCTGCAAGACATTGTCCCGCAAGAGAAGAGAGCGAGTCATGCAGGCTGGTCAGCTGGGAGCCTCTCTGCACCGCTCTTCTTGACACTGGTGAGCTCGTCATTCTTGGGACTGGTTTGTTTTGTGGGTACTTTCTTGACATCCTGTGGAATCTCAGTCCTACTTGTCAACTACATTCCGGGAGAACTGCTTCTCAGGCATCTTGCAAGTCTGACCTCTTTGAGTCAGAGGACAGAGAGTGGCCCCTTGGCCCTGACCACAGCAGTACAGCAATCACTTCCACTCTCTCACGTTACCACTGGGCTGCTCCAGCAGCAGACCAAGGATCCCAACTCTTCACCAGTGAAAACCGGCAGTGGCACTGTTAGGCTGGCACCAAAAGCAGTCATTTTAAGGCCCTGGCAGAGGGAGCTACCTTCCATGTATATCCCTGTCTTTCTAGGTTTAATGCAGCTGCAGTGTTTTTATTCCATAGTATTTGTCTTGTGGCAAAACAGAAGGAAATATATAACCAGGCCCTAGAACCCTTTTATCAAGTTCAATTAGGAGAAGGTAAAAAAGGAGAAGGACTCTTAGCAGATAAGGCTGCAAGGAAGAACAAGTTCTTCGAGAGGCTGTCAAAAGTCAAAATAAACACTGAGCCCTTACGGGGAAGAGGGAGCACATATGCTATGAGTGAATATTTCAAAGACAGATGGACCTGGGGCCATTCTGTATCTTTTACCCCTACTGGTCTATTAATCTACTTGCATTTCCCTGGTTTTTATTGTCAAGGTATTATAAATTAGGAAACTTACAAAAGAGAGTATGTAATCTTCTCTGAAATGGCCTGCAGATATGTCACTGTACTAAATGTGTTTCAGATTTAATGAAGCTTTAATGTCCTTTTTAATTTTGCCTGTTTCTGTATCACCAGGGGTCGGGCAAGGCAATCAGCGCTCAAGAGGGTGGTTTGGTTTAAAACTAGGAAAAAACTCATTTGCTTATGAGTTGCACTGTATTTTCTTAATTAAATTTACTGAGTAAAATGGTTTAAGTTCAGCCAACCAATGACCTTTGTATGTAGATTTAGATTTATAAATAGGTTAACAGTGAAAGTGAAGAAAAAAGAATCACAACAAAGCAAACAGATTAGGGCTAAGCCAATAGAAATCTTTGCTCTCTTTATCATCTTTACAAAAGAGAAGCATTTAAATATAGGCAGCTTAAGTCCAGTTAAAAAAAGAGTACACTGAAAAATGTGGATGCACATAAGTGCCGACAATTCATCAAACACTGTCACATCCTTTTCATTCCCGAGAGGGGAGCAGCTCACATGGTAAAAGATTTGGAAAAGCTTTATTTATTTTGGGGGGGTTGGAGATAGAGATGGGAGAGGGAGAGGATTCTATTTAATGTTAAATAAAAAGGTACATTTTTACTTCCAAATACTTAAGATGCGGCAAAATGCTACTATGTTAGTTGTGGGAGATTTACTATGTAAAAGGCAGAAAGAAGATGCTCTGAAAACACTTACCAGTTGGGAATATATTTAAAATAACAGCGAACCACTAATATTTCACTGTAAAACTAGGACTGTTCTTTAGTGTCCTCTTATTGATCTTTGATTTGTCCAGCCATAATCTATGAAATACTCGCGGGTTGGCAGCATTTGAATATGTTACATTTTATAATTTAAATAACAAACGCATGTGTGTGGATATGAGCCTAACCATTGCCAGATGCACAACTGCATGAAAGAAATCTTGGTATTTTAACCAAAAGTTAGAAGATATTTATGAAG